CCCCCCCCCCCCTCAAAAGTTAAATGGTCGCCCCCTAAGCCAAACATTAGGGAGTTTAAGCTTCACGTTTGCGGGAACGGCAAACGGCATGCAAGGCCAATTTTCTTGGCATAATTTTCGTTCAATTTTTGCGTGTCATATTTTCTTTCATATGACACAGGAATAATAACAGACATAGTTATAAAACGACAAGCCCATTTACTTTCTATTGCTTTAATAGCGTAAAATGTTTCTTTGCCTGCAGACGAGTCACGTTTGTAGTTTGTCGTTGAACGCGAAGCTTAAGCTCCCTATTTTAAAATAACGACAAAACTTGGATATTAATAATCTTGAAAATATTTAATTCCGAGCCAATGTTCCGGGTGTCAGCTCGGGGCGAGAGTACTAATTCCCCCCCCCCCCGGCTATTTAGACCCGGGGAAACAAAAGCATTAGCGAAGTCTAAAGTTCATCAATGATCGCGGGCATAGGTCACCAACGAAGTTTCGATGGGTGGTTATCCTCGCTGATCTCAAAAATATGGCGGACTGTCATGAATAGCGGACACTGATTGGTCAAATTTAAAGTTTGCATTATAACGACTGCATGACGACAGCGAAATAGCAAACATTTCTTGATTTGATCACAGAATAGAAAATTGACCAGAAGCCTCACTTGGCCAAAATTATGTCCCGAGATTTTTCATACGCAGGCGCGAGCCAGCAAGTGTAATCACAACGCCATCAAACGCAAGCAACGCCATCAATTGCCATCACTAGGTAATAAAGATTGCTTTTTTAACCGTTTTTAAATGCCACAGGACCAAATAATGGGTCATCGCAACAGGAAGACACAACGTAAAAAATAAAAGCGTAACATATTTGCACAATAATTGCAGAATATGCAGCGTACACGTTGAGCATGTTTTGCGAATTTTAAGAAAAGTCGTTGATTTGAGGAATTGACGCCAGATCACAGAGGAAATATATACAGAGAGTTCACTCAAGCTAAAACAAGTGACACACACGATCGGCCATACCATGGATTGTAAAAGAACTGGACTGGATAGGAAACTATAGTCACATGACATGTTTCCATCCCGCTGATTGGCTCAAATACCATTTTTTTTGCTCGAGCGATGTTGAAACCTAGTTGCAAATCGTGATGTCAACAATGGCGAATTATGGGCGTAAGTATTGTTGATTTTCCTATGCTTTTGACTGAGTTTTTCATTTCATTTTATTGACAATGTGTTTGTTCTTGTTTTTTGTTATTTTATACTGATGTATGGCCAAAATGAACCCGCCTAAGCCACACAGCAACTCTTGAGGTAAGTGTTCATCTTTATTGTTTACATTATTGTCAATTTCCCACAGAGATAATTGCGTCGCCGATAGCAGCCTATTTTGCCCGATTTCTTCCGTATTTTGCGAAAACGGCGACGCATATTTAGAGTATTTAATCTGTGTATTTTTACCCATGGCATGCTTCAACAAGTAGATTTATCCTTTTATTGTGGCTTAGTCATATTTACAAACTATAAGCTTGGTTTTAAATTGTTATTTTTTTCGATTTTAATTTGTGTTTTGAATGCCTTCGTCTGCGCAAAAATAATTGTGTCAGAAGGTTGCCATAGATAGCTCACGCTATTGCGTCCGACTGTTTTGCCTTAATTGTCTAAGTATATTCACTGATTTTTCATATTTTATGATTTTTTGGGTATGTACATGATTGTATATTAAACATGGGTAAGCTGGGAAGAATCAGAAAATTTTCCAACAGGCAGTACAAGTCTTTGAGAACCAAGAAACAAGATCATGCATATTCTGAGTCTCCTGATTGGGTTGGCAGTATACCATCCAAATTTCAATTTCCACTGCGAAACATATCACCAACAGTTTTAAATAAACCATCAATCGAAAACTTCACTCAAATTTTCACTCTACTTGAAAAAGAGAATGCTTTCAGCAACCAGTGGAACTTGATCAAGCACTCACAACCTTTCTTAATGCTCTGCAACTTTTCAACTAGTGATGAAATAGCACCAGCTGCTAAGAGAACACTAATAGTAAAATCAGACCTCACCTGGAATGTTTTAATAGATTACAAAAATTCCAATCGAGCGGTTGTAACAGTCCCAGTTAATCTAAGGAATGCTGTCAATTTTCTATTTTTGTTCAATTTTGTTGATACTTGCCATGTTTGCCCTGGAATATGTGATGCAGATATAATCAACTTGGCTATACTGCTGGAAATCGTCATGGCAGTTTTAAAGATCTACATGGAAATGTCAAGGCACAACTTCATGATGATACAGTTCGACCTATCAATTGTTCTGGCATAGTACAAGCGAATTCTGGTGTTTTGTGTCAGGTATTTATTTATTTAATTTAACGTTGCTTCATTAATGAGAGGCAGGGCATGCATAAATCTAATAAATATGGCTAGTAAATCTTTATCTTATCTTATGTTTCAGGTATGCAAGTCTTTACATCATTCTCTTTTGGCAATGCTTTCAAAAGAGCGACGTGTTTCAAAAACATCTGCAGACAGACCCAGCAAAACAAGCGTAAACAGCCACTGCACTGAATGAACAGGAACGGAAAGAAAGAGTACAAAATTGTAGACTAAGCCGGCAGAAGAATTCAAGGAAAATTGCACTTCTGGAAAAAAAGTTCAAATCAGTGAGTTTACTATAAGGTTGATGGGGGTGGGTAGGGTGAAGGTGTTAGAACCCACTGGGATGAGGGGGTCTGGAAGCATGCCCCTCCCTAAACAATATATATTAGAAGTAATTTGGAATTTC